CCTGTACCAGCGTGACAGTTCTGATCACAAGAGACACTTCTTTGTGGCAGCACGTAATAAATGTAAACGACTTCTCGAAGGAGTTAATCTTTGCTTGCTAAGAGAATGAGCCACTGTGTTGCATCTAACAACTTTGACTGGCGGCTCTGTAATATTGTATTATTCAATACAATATTTTCTATTCCTCTTCTCTTCAATCAATTTGTGGTGTTAACATGTTCTATTGATAAAGCTAAATGTTTCGCCGATAAATTCTCTTTAAACTCTACTCTTGACTCTTTGTTATCCTTGCCTAACCTTCAACTTACAATTGAGTCTCTATTGCGTTATATACAGACACACCGTCTATGGTTTCTGCTCTCGTCTATTGATCCCCACAAAACACGTGGACTTGACTGTCCTGCTATTTTTCTTAAGAAGTGTACTCCTGGACTGGCTCCTGTTTTCTTTAAATTGTATAATAAATGCCTCATTGTCTCTTGCTTTCCTGTCCGTTGAAAATCATCATCTGTTGTTCCAGTCTTTATCGGGTGAACCGTCTGACCCTTCCAATTCTCGGTCTATGAGCCGTCTACCTTTTTTTGATAAAATACTGGAGGTCCTAATCAAGGCTGAATTATTTAAGCAGAAATAGCGCCTGGAAAATCTACCACCCACAGATCATATTGAAAGTAATAAAACCATGATGAAACGGAGAATTACTTTATTATTAGGTTGGTGAAAAAATAATGTCGCTTTTTGACGTTAAGTTGAACGTCAAAAAACGACATTGTTTTTGCACCAACCTAATATTTGCGTGAATGCATGGCCGAACTGGGACAAAGAGAGATGGTAAGAATGTCAAAAGTGAGGGAATCGTCGAAAGCAATGATAGACTATTTTCCTGATACGGTACATTAAAGAATATCCAACCGGACATCTGTAGATAGTACGATAAAGCGTTCGATACTTTGGTTACCTCAGGCTTTTTCAACCTATCTACGATTATTAATGTTCTACAAATTAGTAGATATTAGAAAAAATACTTAATTTACAAAGAACTAGTCGCACGACGCTGAAGTAACTGAGCAACCAATCAGAGGACAGATTATTGTGTAAGCGTAACCATACATTCACCTGTAGTGCAGTAAGACACTATTAGGCGTGCTTGTGGTATTGACTGTGAGTAAGTTTGCATTTTGCTAACGAAAAGGTTAACCCATAGCTTGAGCAAGATCCTAATTGGCATGAAACTATACTTAGTGAGTATTGAACTCGATTTGGAAGGTTTTCAAAATCTGCTTGCTAATTACTACAATTCTTCATTATATTTATTATAGGAGTTCTTTCGTAAATTATCTCCTCTTTTTTTCATGATTAGTGATCAGTAACTGCTATGAAGTGAATGAATTTAACGGTTTTTTAATGGTTTTTTAATGGCTAGAATTAGTTTAGAATCAGTTAATGATTTTTATTTACTCTCTAGAAGAATAAAAAAAAGTCTCCAACGCAGTGATTCCCAATCCAAATTGACTTTTTTGTTCAGTGAAATATGGTTCTACAGAAGAATGCTGAGAACACCATGGACCGAACGTGTGGCAAAGGAATACAAGCAGAAGACTCATCAGGAAGACGCAGTTGAAGTTTCTAGGACACGCAATGCGAAAAGAGAGTTTGAAATTTGTGTTACTCACAAGAAAGATTAAAGGCAAGAGGAAAACAATGCAGAATCTTCCTAGTGGGCTTGAGTAAATGGATAGCAGAACAGGAATTAGGAGAGATAGCAAATACATAACATTTATTAAGAGCTATAAAGAACAGGAAATAGTAGAGAGCCATGATCACCAACGTCCTGAAGGAATGTAGCACAAAATAAAGAACAAGATATTTCACCCATTAAAAAAGCCGAAGGGCTACTCAATGAAAAGTTACTGAATGAGATTTCTGTAAGGGAGTAGGAAGAAAAAATGCATACTATAAGGGTGTGCAGGATACATACTGGTTGAGCCTTGGCTTGAAGATCTTGGTTGTAGTTGTCAGAGAAGCAACCTCTTGAGAGTCCGTTCCACAAAGCAACATTTCTGATGTTCTGTGAGTGACACTTGCTCGTTATCAAAGGAAGACCTAGTGTATGGGGATTGTTTGCCAGCGTGAACATGACATGGCGGGTTCTAGCTGTAAAGGTCTGACCTGGCGGAACTAAGGAATGTAAATCGTCCGAATAGTTGACATATGATAGCGATAGAGTAGTGAAAGGCTTAAAGTTTCGTCTATGCGATAATAGTCCCGGGTATGACGATAAGCTACATCCGGAAGCAAGGAATCTGATCGTAAGAGTGATAGTTTTGAGGAGCGTGGAACCACCTCTTAATTGCTGTCGTAGCCATATTCACTCTGAGCTGGGATGGTAGCACCTGTTAGGGTTCCAGATATTGAGAAATAGTAAAGCCCAAAATACTACAAACTTCACAAGAATGTGACTTCTCTCCAGTGTGTGTACGCATATGTCTCACTACTTTCGACTTCTGTGAATTGCAGATCCACAGACTTCACAAGAATATGATTTCTCTCCAGTGTGTGTACGCATATGATCGACCAAATTTGACTTGAATGAGAATACAGATCCACAGACTTCACAATACATTTTTAAAGTAAAAATATCATATATATATATATATATATATATATATATAGCAAAATGACCAGTAATACATTTTATCTGTAATTGGAGGTATGCATTTGCGTTCAAATAGATTTCGCCATTAAATAACCCATAGAGGTTGATATGTCGCTAAATAAAATCAACCAAACAACCAACATGAAAGGATTCTTTCATGACATTAATCCATATAATTTCTTACAATTTATTAAAATAATCAAACTGCATTCTGAAATATAACGTCAACAAAAATACGATATACAGTGTAACCCGGATATAAGAGACCCGGATATAAGAGAAACCCGGATATAAGAGAGATTTTCTCTGGTCCCAAATCAGAGCCTGTGTTAATGTATATAAAATAGACCAAACCCGGATATAAGAGACTTCTTCCCCGGCCCCGACAACTCTCTTATATCCGGGTTACACTGTAATACACGTGCATATCACCGCTTTTTTAGTTATGTCCACACATCATATATATGAACAAATGAATATTAACAGTGGAAACAGAATCACGTATCATATTTTTATTATTTCAAAGCTCCAAAGAAAATTAATTTTCGGTATTAGATGTTCTATAAGGAGTTGATATGCCTTTTTAAAAAACGAAACAAACAATCAATGGGATAAGGGTAGCAATATAGGGAATAATTTGGCACCCACATCTATAGGTGCTTCTGGAACGATAATTGATTTCATTTTATTTTACTCTATTTTTTAGCTTTTTAATTGTTTATTTATTTTCTAACCATCGCATGCACACTGAGCAAGTGACGTTTTACTTGTTTGTTTAACGGCATATCAACTTCTTATGAGTCATTTAACGTCGAAATTTAATTTTCTTGGATGAACTTTTTTTCTGTTAAAATCTGTTGCTGGACATTTTCTTTTGACATTGAAATCTGGTATTTTTACTATAAAAAATGTATTTTTATACTTTCATTTTGTTTTTGTTTAGGTGTTAACTATTTGCGCCTAACTGAAACCCGAACAGGTGCTGTGTAGATTATTATTATTATTTTGCTTTCGTGATCTCGCATCATCAAGGTCAAGGTTTAATCTTAGTGATTTATTTGTTTTCCTTCAGGTAAAATCACCGTTAAAAAGTTTTGTTGTTGTTTTTTTTTGTTTTTTTTTGTTTGTTTGTATTTTTTAGCGGCATATCAACACTTCTATGGTTTATTTAATACCGAAATCTAAATATATTTTACGCAATTTTATGGGTTCAACTACAGATATGCTGTACAAATTATTATACGTTCAAGGTAAACGTATATATATATATATATATATATATATATATATATATATAATTATTATTTATAAAAAATTATAACATAAGTATGTTATACATACTTATGTTATAATTTTTTTATAAATGATAATTATATCTGCTCTACTTTGTATTGAGCACTCTTTTAAGAATAGTAATTGTTGGTTACTGGAATTCATTCCGTATATACAATTATATTATATATATATATATATATATATATATATATATATATATATATATATATGGGGGGTGTTGTAGATTATAAAATGTATTGTTAGTATGATTTTACAAAATGGTAATTTTACTAGAAAAATCTGTTTTTATACTACAGTGTTTTATTGATTATCATTTTGATATAAAAATGTTTGATGGTATTTTTTCATGAAAAAGTATTGCTGGTATTTTTACTATATAATGCGGTTATACGCTTCTTAAATTCTACAATCTTCCGATCAGATGCTTTGCTGCCGGGTGTAGTTTATCGTCATACCAAGTACTAGTTAAAACTTCGTGGACGATATTAGAAAAAAAAACACATCTTGATAGCAATTGGAAATTCAGACATCGGGAAGAATACGAAGACATGTGTTCGTGCTCTCCAAGGCTGTACTTAATGTGGAAGAAGATACCATTGACCAAGGTAGATTACTTTATCTTTAAGATTAAATAGCGAGTATATGTCCTACATGTCTTTTTTTTGCCAAATCTCGCATCATCGACTTCTATCATCCCTATACACCTTATATTTTAGCTTCCAGGCTTTTTCTAGAGCTAGGATCTGTTGAAACACTATAGATAATAGGTGATAGAAATCCCGAATGTAAGAAGAATATTGCTATATGCGTTCAAGGTGATAAAGGGAGTTATTTAAAGTAGATTTAGACGCCATAGCCCTAGATAGCCTACTTCATTATTAAGATCGAATGGCTGGGGTTTTTTTTAGACAGACATTCTATATAAATAATAGTATGCATGCGTACGAAAGTCCGTATCGTTGTAAATGCATATTTAGTTTTCTATGTGTATTTGTCTGTCTGTCTGTCTGTCTATCGATCTATCTCATTTATTTTATAACGATCTGTTATGTTAGTTTATCTATCTATCCCAGTTATTTTATATCGCTCTGTTATTTTATCTATCTATCTATCTATCTATCTATCTCATTTATTTTATAACGATCTGTTAGTTTATCCATCCATCCCAGTTATTTTATATCGCTCTGTTAGTCTATCTATCTATCTATCTATCTATCTATCTATCTATCTATCTCATTTATTTTATATCGCTCTGTTATTTTATCTATCTCATTTATTTCATATCATTCTGTTAGTTTATCTATCGCATTTATTTTATATCGCTCTGTTAGTTTATCTATCTATCCCATTTATTTTACATCGCTCTGTTAGTCTATCTATCTATCTATCTATCTATCTGTCTGTCGCCATTTATCGATCTATCGCAGTCTATTCTAATCTATCTATCAATCTCGGTTATGCTGGTGGTATAATGTATAGCTGCATGGTATGAGAACTCGGAAAGCAGTATTCAAATACCCGTCGGGTTCTTTACATTCACTTATCTGCAAATACCTTTGGTAAAAAGGTCTAATTTTATCTCTCCCTTTCTTCAATTATTGTTTAAATGTACACGCTCGTGTGGGCGTGTGTTCGCTTGAGCGTCTTTTGGGTGTATAGTTTCGAACCAATAGGCTCGGAAAATTTTAATGCAGAACAAATATGTGCCGATAGCTTTTATGTGGAGTTCCTTTTGTAAAACCAATCCCAAAGAAACTACTTCGAATAAGACCGTAGAAACTATGTTTTAGGGGAAATCATTTTTTCATGGCCAAGTTCTCAGAGCCTTTGGATAGTAACTCTGAAATTACTGTGAATGAGTGGGCGGTAGAATAAAATGTTGTAAATATCTTAATTTTAAATTTAATCTACGCCAAAAAAATGTTTCGTGTTTCAATTTCGTTTTTGACTTTCCATTTGTTCATTTATTTTTTTACATTTAATGATTTTTTTTTTATCTGCTGAAAAGAAAAATTGTTTCACGTTGGTATCTGCTTCATTATCTAATCGAGTACTGGTAAAAGTTGCTGTCTGCATCAAGCAGGCACCTGTTGAACTTCGCAGAGTCCTCTCCCTTCTTTCTGGCCAAACTATGATCTTTTCCCAAACAAGAGATGGAAGACCCGCTGTTGCCACATTTGAAAGCATCAAATCTTGGCACTTGATCAAAGACGATGAAAGTATCATCGCGTTCACGATAAGATTGGGGCTGTTTGTTTAGCTAACTGAATCAGGCTCAGACAGACATCAAGAAATCGCGTTCACTCTTTGGCAACTGCTACATTCTCTCTATCCAGACAACTTTCAGATATGTTATTCCGCAGTAGAATAAGAGCTATTTGCAAAAATGAAATATCCTATTTGGCACGTGGCCGAGTGGTTAGAACGTTCGCTTTGTGAGCATGAGACCCGGGTTCAAATCTCACATATGGTCGCTTTGTCAGGAAGGTAACTTCTTGATGTCATCGGCCTGGAGAAGGCGAATCCAGCGTGCGGCACCTTTGGAAATTGACTGAAACCCATACCAAGATTTGTGTATGAAACCGAGTAGACGGAGCCGTGGATGGTTGGGCTAGCACCAAGTCACAAGTCATCGTGACCGAGAGTTTGAGTATGCTAGCCTTGTTCAGACGGCTGATCGTGCTAGATAACACTCTCTCTCTCCGAGAAACTCTAACTAAAGTCTGCTCGGTGCAGTTGCAGTATAAACCACAGGTGGGCTCACTGGGTGTTGGACAAATATAAATGTGGCTGAGTAGGCGTCTGCAGTGGGGATTAGCTAGCCGCCCTAGTAGACTTATATCTTCGGATGCGAGTGGCTGATAGAATAAAATCTATTTCCAAATTTGAACATAAAAAATGAAATATATATAACTCATTAAGCGTTTTTTTTTAAATCATTTCACCCAAAGAAAGGTAATAATGCCACTAAACGAAAACGAATGAGAAGACTTTAGTGAGGAGAATGAACAATAAAAGAACAGAATTTATGAAGACAGATGGCGACTACTGTTGCATTTAAATTTTTGGAGAACGTAAGTGGCATGGACACAAGAAACCAGGAGTTCCACATGTGAGAAATGCGAGAATAGAAACTATTAAAACAGAACTGACGGTTACATCTAGCTATTTTTAATTAATTCACCCCAAAGAAGGCGATAATGCCTCTAAGACTCAAGGGGTTACTTGGAGTGAGAAAACATAAAGAACCGGAAATCTAATCCTAAACAGGAAACAAGGGATGAAAATCTACTCATATTCAGAAGACTTGTGACGTGAGTTAAACTGTAGATAGACGAAAATATCTACTGCTATTGAGGATAAATAAAGAAATAAATAATAAATAAAATTTCATATTCTAAATAGAACAGTAAAACGGTGAAACCAAGTTAGCTAATCATTTCGTGCTATTTTTGTTATACAGTTTAATTGTCTCCTAGTTTAAATCGCCCTGGGTATGACGATAAACTACATCTGGCAGCAAGGCTTCTCATCGGAAGATTGCAGATTTTGAGGGGCGTAGAACCATTTCTTAATTGCTGTTGTTCCCATGTTCACCCTGGGGCCGCAGTGGTTATATATGTTATGATCCTAGCTATGGGCAAATAGTAAAGCTCCAAACGAAACTCAACAGTCCATTTCATTATAAAAATGAGCTTGAATACAGTTTATGATAAACTATATATTTAAAACCATGCCTTTAGTCTGAAAGTATAAAATTATGTACAAAATATCTGTCTTTGAAAACATAAAATTACGTACAAAATATTTAGATTTCGGCATAAAATAACTCATATTGGTGGTACTAGGGCGTGGTGTAATGGTTAGCAAGCTAGCTCAATTACGACTGAGTAGTGAGTTCGGTCTTCACTGGGTGCCTCGTACTTTCGTCCATGTGCCACGTTTAAGCTAAGCTTAAAAAACCAACAAAATACTCCACACTGATATGCCGCTAAACAAAACCAACCAACCACTTTTAAATATTAAGTCAATTTTGTTTTCCTAGAAGTTTAGAATAGTGGTACTGACGAAATTTGAACTATGACCTGAACTGATATTTTTTTATTCTTTGCTGATCGACATGTTCATCCCAGTTGTTATACTCACCTTTTGCCGATTATATTCTTCGGCCTTCTTCATGTTTCCGTCTTCTTACCCAGTAGCCATCTTGAAATTAAGAACCGAACATTCAGTTACTATTTATTTTTCATTCCATTTCCTTTTCTCAATGGATATTTCATATCAATTAATAATCACCAGACTTATTCACGATTGCATTACTTATCCGTTTCTTCTACTTTTTCCTTGGATTTTCAGCATTATCAGACACCAACATTGAATTCATAACTGACGACAAACTAGATATAATTTAACCAATTTACTTTAATGTGCTCCTTGGACAATCTCATACTAAAACTCTTAAATAAAATCCATGCCATGGGAGGCAGAAGGGTGGATGTCTTCAGCAGAAGAAACGGTATCAGTCAACCATATGCACACACGAAGCTGAGCGGAGGGATCATTCAGTCAACGGCTAGGGTCAAGCGGTTCAGTGAGCGAAATATTGTTATCAGGAGTAGCGGCCCCTGGTTATACGAAAGCCTCCGAAACAGCAGTTAATTATATAAAAATTTAAAGAAATCTCCTCGTTATTAAAAAGGTTATTTTTTGTTATTTTTTTTTTATATTGAAGGACAATCGTAATAGTTGAAGTAATCATTTTACTTTAATGAACGTCATTACAGATTGTTTACAAGACGAGTCACGTGAAAAATAAACACTGATTTATTGGCAAAAATCCACGCATTTTGAAGCCCAGTGGAAATAGACGAAGCAGTGAATCGGGGGTATCAAAGACTTGAGTACTTGAACCTGTTTTCACTGGAGAAGACTTGACAATCGAAATTTGGATCCGATTCGAGTGGTAATTTCCACACCACTATGTCACGTTCAAAGAACATTGATTGCAAAAAGGAAGATATATAATTAAATTAAGAGCATTAGTTGTGTTTCATCTTCAAGCGAATTTGGGAATTCGCTTGAAGATCTAATTATATAATTAATTTTGAAGTTTTTACCTTCGGTTTTTGAAACATGGTAATCCCTGTGTAGCGAAGGAACCATATTTTTAAATCAGTTATTTTATGATATATATATATATATATATATATATATGTGTGTGTGTGTGTGTGTGTGTGTGTGTGTGTGTGTGTGTGTGTGTGTGTGGACGGAGCTGTGTTTAGCCTTTGTATTGCATAAAACAATGTGTGTGTGTGTGTCTGTGTGTGTGTGTGTGTGTCTGTGTGTGTGTGTGGACGGAGCTGTGTTTAGCCTTTGTATTGCATAAAACAATGTGTGTGTGTGTGTGTGTGTGTGTGTGTGTGTGTGTGGACGGGCTGTGTTTAGCCTTTGTATTGCATAAGGCAATGTGTGTGTGTGTGTGTGTGTGTGTGGACGGAGCTGTGTTTAGCCTTTGTATTGCATAAAACAATAAAAACTTTGTTTGGAAGCATTAATCATTTTTGTTTCCTGTTTTAACCTTTTTATATCTTGATAACACAGTAATGTATGCGGAATGAGCTGGCAAGACTGTGTTTACATAGAATTTTTTAGAGGTTATTTCTCTCACTTTGCATGACCTGGTCCCAAGAATGCTGGATTAAAGAAGTCGGACTTTAATTAAAAATAATAAAAAATCTGGAAAATAATACTTTAAAGGCACAGAAATGATAATAATAAATTGTCGTCTGCGATAAATTTCAGGGGACAATTTAAAATAAAAATACACTTTCTGTTCTAGATTTTACCTTGAATAAAATTTGCCAAGTCCTGTAAAATTGCGTAGATATATTTGTATCTTGTCAGCGGAAAAAGCGGATTAAAGATGAATGAATTTTTGAGACCGGAGTTTGTAAAGATGCCAGCATGTAGTGATTGTTTGATGATGAAACAATGAAATACAGAGTATCACAGAATGTAACCCAAGAATGTGAACGCCATTTATTTTCTGTTTACAAGCTATATACAAACCATATATTTCTGGAAACTAGAGAGGTTAGCAAATCTACTGATATAAACAACATGTCACTAGCTCTACTGGAAAATATTTTATCGTCATTTATAAAATATGCTGCAAATATGCTCCGTTCCGCTGAAGACACTTGAATTCTACGGGAGAAGTTGTCGATGACTTTGATGCACTTTTATTTTGGTATAGCTCTCATTTCTTGAGTGATTGCTGCCTTTATCTCTGGTGTGGGGGTTGTTCATTTAGACTCGACCCTTCAGATACCCCCACTGATAAAAATCTGAGGGGGTGAGATCGGGGGAATGTGGAGACCATTCAGTTTCGCGTTTAAGGCTGATGAGTGAGCTGGGAACTTCTGGTCCAGGCAGTCCAAAGAGACATTTGCTGTATGAGGGGTGGTTCCATCTTGCTAGTACCACTGGTGCCTTCTCTGAACCCTGGTCGCACCTCTTCCAGGGCTCATGGGAGGATTTGGTGAGGCAAAGGTCCTAGCGCCTTCTACGGACGGATTTCTTCGGACTCGTTGTTACAGTTTCTGGGTACTTTGTGTACTAGTGAACCAGTCAAAATGAGCTGACTCATTTTATTGTTCACCAATAGAAGAGTTAACCAATCAGAAGGCTCAGAATATTCAATGCGACGTGTATAAAGGCGTCCATATTTTTTTCCAAATATTCAATGCCAACCTCTGATATCGAAGACTGAAGAATTACGGAACAGCTGCTGGTAGTATTGGCGATATAGTCAGATCCAGTAGAGTGTCTGACTCGTGAGTATTAATCTTTAACGTTGTTTTATTGAACAGATTACGTACTGCGCTGTATTTTATATTCATAGACTTGGCGAACACGATCAACACTCCTGCCTACTGAATCTCGGACCGATGTAATGTTTCGGTATTTCACGATGGCAGGTTTATAAGAATTTCCCTTCAATTCTCTTAGCACACAGAACATTTTCTGTTATTCTGTAAAGGCATTGTAGTCGGTGTTCTGATTTTATTATCTTCTCAGCTTTCTAAATCTGAAATATAAAAGTAAAATATAAAAAAATCAACAGAATTACACACATTTATTTGAGTTGCATTTATACTGCAACACACATTACATTAATTCGTTTAAAAATGAAAATAAAAATCCAGCATTAATTATTAATTATTTAATAATTATTAATAATTAATTATTACTAATTAT